AAGTAAATTTTTAGCCCAATGCTGTAACATTGATGATCCTGACAGAAAACTTGACAAAACTGGAACAAGTTGTTACAATTTAAAGGTCAACAGAAAACTGAAAACATTTATTTCTCGTGAAGTATTTCAAAATAACAATAAATATGTAACCATTTTAAAAACATCGTAAATTTAACATTTACCCCAAAATGTGACCCCAAAATGAATAAAAAGATTCTGCGTTTTCCTGCCCACAAAAATTCCCTTTTGGCCGTTCACGCTCCTAGGATGATCGGATGACGTCATCGCCAGAATGCTGACACATACAGTGTGCATGTACATAGCGCCCAGTACATGCAGTATTGCAGGCTCGCAATAGACCACATTGTGTTTGATGTACAGGTAGCTTGGCCCACAGGCAAACACGCTCTCAGTTCAAGAAATACACAGTAGGACATGTGTCTTTTAATTTCTACCTTGAACTGAGATAGTGTAAACATATGTTTTTGAAATATTTACATATTTATTGTTATTTTGAAATCCTTCGCGTGAAATAAATGCTTTCAATTTCTGTTACCCTTTAAACACATTCTTCAAGGCTCAAAGAATAAAAGGGGTACATCGCACACTGTTCACATGTATACGTATGTACATGTACCTACCTTGTTATGCACAATAAAACAAGAAACCCAGCGAGAAATGAAAAGTGAACTAAACTTGATCTTTCTTTGGAGTTTGGACTAGTTTAATAGTGGTATCAGTGTCTGATTTAGTTCACAAGTGTTTATCTTTCATGCCTACTTCTCCCAGGAATGGGTAAAAATTGTCCATTTTTTTGAAGCAAAAAAGCCTGTCCAAAACAAACTGCTAGAACTAATCATTTTACACAAGTGCAGCTTTCACTTTTCAAAAATGACATGTCTCAATACAGAGAACAAGTTGTTAGTTAATTCACTTGTGCCTCTTCCCTTTTTAACACTTGAGGTATAAATCATTGTTAAGTATGCAATTATTCAAAATCCCTAGTCTTTCTTATTTCTCTGATAAGAGAAAACAGCAAGTTGACAAGAGGTGTACATCACTGAACCAGAATTTCAGCATAACATGTCAAGTAAACAAGATGAAGCTCAGTGTCTTGAAATTTTTCAGCCATGCATTGGCCCTTTTGATGGGGATCCTACACTTTGCAATGTTTCTGTCTAGTTGATTTCACTCTTTGTGAATTGTCTGTGGTTCAAGAATGGGGGAATGTTGAGAGCTACAGCATCTGGAACAACATCATACACAAGCATGATGTGCACATGTATGAGGAAACCCTTATCTGCCAAGATAAGGTCACCAACATCTAAGTGAGATAGCAAACCACATTGCTGCATTACTTCTTTATCTGACACAGAACGGGAAAAGGTAAGTGATGACAGCATTTGATGCAACTCCAAGTACATGTAGAACTTTAAATGGGTGCATGCCTCTGTACCGTAGTTTGAATGTGTTAGCTTCTGTTAAGCATATCAACTTAAAAACATGGTGCACAGACATCCATTTAAAATGTTTGCTCCATCTTAACCACACACTGCAAGTCTAGTTTCAAGTTTCAGGATGTCATACTTGTACCTGAAGGAAACTATACGGACAACTTTAATACAATGCACAATGAGTGCACGTCATACTTAGGACTTGCACAGTGTGGTTCAGTTGATGCATGTACATTTGTACATGTGCATTGTCAAGCAACTTGTGCATGTACATACGGTACAAGTATAGTTACATGTATGCATTTCCATCAGCCAGAGATGACATGCTTGGCTTCTGAGGTTGGCAACTCTATTTTCTTATCTCTGGCCGGGAAACAAGTCTCCTTAAATTGTGGCTTTAGTTACGTGGTTCATGTACATGTATGTTCTGAAGTGTTAAGATTCCCATTCTTCTACACGTAGGCCTGTGAGAACACTTTACAGATAACTCTTACATTTTTTTGCAGGAGAGAAATCTTACACTGACCGCTCGCTATTGACCTTGCAGGGAGTTATACATGGAAAAGATGGAATGTGGGTCACATTGGAGGTCTCTAAATCACAAGAGTGACCATTTGCTGATTTTTAAAATGCCATAACTGTTGCTAAGGAAATTGATAATTTGCTAATGTGGAAGAAATGAAATGTTATATTAACTGATCTTACCTGTCCACACACTCTTAATAAAAAAATCCTAAGTTTGAAGCGAAAGTTTTTGAAACTCAACTTCTTTTTGTCTTTAAGGTAAACTATAGTAAGCAAATGTTTCCTCTGGCAAAGGCAATCCTGTGTTTTAGACAGACGTGTAAATTATGACTTCTCCACAAGTGCATTAGTCTTGACAGCAACATAAAACACGCAATTAAGTGAGATCTTTGAAGCCAAAATGCTGGCCAACTTTCCCTAATAATATGGTACAGTCACTCATGAGCTGTCAGTAGTAATAAGAGGTCTTTGTATCCCGAGCCACCTTTTGTTTGATTTAGAAGTTCTGGTGAAAATTGATAAGTTCCATGGGATCAATATCCTGACCAACCTTTTTATTGTCATCAACATCACAGGACAAGGGTTATCTGGCTATCCTTCTTAGCACTGGAACCATACCAAAATGGATTGCTTATTTTTTCCAGGTGGCAGAAATCACTAGGGAATAGAGTACCCTTTTTTTACAGTGTGTCAGCTTTTGATATGGACCGAAACATGGTGAGAAGTTACACACCCATTGGGCAGGACACAAGGTTGGAAAGCATTTGGGTCTGAATTATTGTTTGGCCTCAGGCACAAGGCAGACATATGGGTTAGACTTGTAATCCAGTCTCCAACAATGATGTCAGGCACCTGGAGGTCGCCTCCAATAAATGATTTTTCTATGCTGAAATCATTTGTTGGATTGTTTGTTGACTGCAATGTAATAGTCTACATGATACTGTGCACTGAAATTAATTGTCAGTTGATGAAAAGATTGTCACAGACATTAAGCTAAAAGGACATGGACTTTATGATATACAAAATCATTGCAAAAACTCTGTTAGAAACGATTTGGCTTTTTTTCAAATACAGTTTTATCTTGTAGGGAAGAAATCAGTCAACACAAAGACATCATAAATTTGAAGAATGGCTTTCCACTCTCTAATTATTATACGTCTCAATTATTAAAGCATCGTGGACATTGCATGTCAAAATTCACACATTTTTATACACATGCAACTGTTTATATATGTACATGTAATATACATCTACTTCCAATCTACTATCCTCTAGAATGAATTCCAATTGGTTATCACCCTTTCATGTTGTCAGTCTGTTGTTGTTTTTTTATTTAAACTTGATCTGTTTTGTAAAGTCTGAATTAGTTTGTGCTGAACTTGAGGTTGGTCAGGATGTACATTGGGCCACATCGAAGAAGTATTATGGTTTATTTTCATCACGCTCAACTCACAGGGCTTACTGATAGTCACATTAAAAGTTGAAATAATATTTTTTCAAAAGCCTTATGGAGAAATGTTTATAAAGAATTTACTTGCCTGTTCATGTGAGGGAACAAGAAATAAATGGAAAAGGTCTTTAAACTGTTGAACATAGGTGAAGACTATATAGTCTGGTCTTTTTTCTGTCAACTACTATACAGTGACAGCTGGGATCACACTTAATGAGCAAATCAATACTTGCATCATCTGAAGACAGCCATGATGAAGAAAAAGACAAATTTTGGTGTATAATTCATGTTGTCAAGTACATGTACATGTAAGGTGATGCCCTTTTAAGACGTTTCATGGTATACATGTTCAGTCAGCAGTGTGGATTGATGGCCAAGTACCATGCATATCAGTTGAGACACTGTTGTTTGCAGGAGTAGGCAAGAAAAAGTTGCTTCCTTGACTTTCCAAGGATGGAGTTTGTTATTGGGTCATGTACCTGCTACATCTATGCAATATCAAATAACACATGCAGTGAGGAACTTGTGCGTTTTGTGTGTGCATTTTGGTTGGGGGTGTCTGCACTGCGTTTTGTGTGTGCATTTTGGTTGGGGGTGTCTGCACTGCGTTTTGTGTGTGCATTTTGGTTGGGGGTGTCTGCACTGCGTTTTGTGTGTGCATTTTGGTTGGGGGTGTCTGCACTGCGTTTTGTTTGTGCATTTTGGTTGGGGGTGTCTGCACTGCTAACTTTTTTTATGCAGTACTCTGAAATTCCTCAATTTCATATGCACCTGTGATCTGGGGGGTAAAAGACATTTACCTATAGCCAATGTACCGGTACCAGCATGTGTACAGAAAGGATGAATGTTTTGAGTTTCATATTAACATTTAAATAACAGGCATGCAACTTGGACTTTGACAAATTTCAATCTTTTCAAGTGTTTTCAATTTCCAATGCATGAGTGTGAAGTGAAAGACGAGCAAATTAGCTGATCCAAGGAAAAGTTACATGTGGTTACAATACCACATGTAACTTTTCCTTGGATCAGCTAATTTGCTCGTCTTTCACTTGAAAGAAAACATCCTCATACACCCAGACATCAATCACAGCTAGATGAGGTGCATATAACATTAACAGGTATTAAGGGCTTTTAAATGTGTATCTTTAAGTATACACACAAACATGTACAAACATTCTTTAAAAACACTTAAAACTTGAAAAGTCAGATGTCGTTCCAGCAAACTAAAGTGACCATGTTTAGCATGTTCTGATAAATGTAATGATGCTGATACATGTATCTAAAGAAAGGTTTACTTTGGCAACAGTGTAATCTAGGTATGTCACCCAGATAAGGACCCAATTCAAATCTGCCTTGCTGGGAGACATCAATTCAGAAGAACGGATTGGTCTCTTGTTCTAAAGGGGCAGCTACAGACTTCATTAATGGGTCAGCCATATTGAAAGCAAGTTTAACATTTCATAATTTTTTTATAATGTTGAGAGTTGAATTGAAAGCAATAGAATGAAATTTCATAAGAAATTAGTACCAGCCTACTCTGATGAATAATTTAAAATTGTGATTAAACACACACAAAATGTACTTGAGTGTTTTAAGCCATTCATGTACTTACAAAAATACATGTATTGAAAGGGAGGCTTGGAATGCGTGACAATTATAAAACAGTATGGTGCCATCCTAATTGATACTCTGCTTTTAATATCATAGATTCAGGGAATAAAATTGAAAATAGCTTTCACTTGAATAAGGTCTATAAGATACAGTTAGGAACATGTGTAGTGACTAATGTCAATGACAAAAAATAAGATTTCCATGAAGTTCATTTGCGAAATTAAATTTTATCTCAATTTTTCTACATTAGTGGATTGGTCCCTGAAAACTAGCTTTGCATATGAAGTCTCTTGAAAATATCTTTTATTACTCTAAACGAGGAAAACTAAATGAATTAAAATGTCACTGACAATACACTGACCATAATCCAAAAGGACACAGTTTAAACTGTTGTTATTGTAACAATGAAAAAAATGACACAAATAGTTACAACCCAAAGTGATACGTTAAAAGACCTACAAAAAGTTTAATTTTATTTCTTCTCAAATATGGTGATTAAAATGTATGTAAAAATGTGCTTAGCCTCAACTGTGGTAAGTTTAACATTTTAATCATCATGCGGATTTACATGTAAATTGGCCAGACATTGTTCTTTCAAACTACATGTAGGGCCTACATGTATGTCAAACTTGTTCACACGAAATTGAAATTTGGGGTCAAGGACACTTTTTCATGGAATTGCCCCAAATGAATTATCTGCATTTTCAAAGTCCTAAGTGTTCATGTGTACATGTACCTCCATTAAACCATATTCTCTAGGAAATTGTTCAGTGGATTGATGCCATCTGTAAAAGAACAGGACAACTGAACAAAGGAGATAAATCCCTGTATATCATCGTATACTACAAACTGATATTGCCAAATGTGAATTCCAAAATCTGCAGAACAATGCATGTATGTTTAATTACACATTTTAAAGATTCAAATGTCTAAAGTTTTTGGCCCAAAGTGTCTGGAGAATGAAAAATACTGAAATCAAATCTGTAGCCTTTGGTAAAGAGTACAGATGACCACAGAATAAGGAACGATGTGTGACTAACAAGAATCAGTGAATAGTGAAGACGTACATGTAGTCATCTTATTTATTGTTTTTCTTATTCGTCCAAAATCTCACTGATTAGTTGACTTTGTAATTTTGCACATTTTCTAAAAGGGAATTAACTTTTTGGTAAAACAAACCCCTTCAAATTTGCACTTTTAATTTTTTTCCTAAATCTTCTCCAACTCACTCACCAGAAAGCCTTTTTTTTTGGTCAATGGTAAGACAACTATTTTCACTATTTGCACTCTTTGTTTTGTTGCATTTTTTGAAAGCTTTTCCAAATTTGAGTCAGCTCTGGAAACCTTTGGGTTAACAAGCAAGGAAAGACACATTTTGTTTCCAAAAAAGAAATATCCATAAATTCCATTACTTGTACATATGTACCTATTGTTTGAGATTCTTATGGTAAACGAATAAAGTACTACCATACAAGACGGACTGACTCTCTGTTGAACAGCACCCACATGATCCCAGACAGCTGAAAGGTGCACCTACCTTCAGTTGGACTATAAATTTTCCAAAGAAAAAAAAAAGAAAAATATTGAAGGAGGTTTTTAACTTCAGTACCTCTGGGAAACATAAAATGTGGGCCAATATCCATCCAGAGGTAGTTTTAGTCCCAATTGACCTTGCAAGCTGCCTCCAACAGACTTAATCACAACTTACACTTGTAGCCCCCAAAATCTGTTATTTTAAGGGCAAACATTTTTTATTGACATGTTCTTGCTAGTGTAATACAATTAAGGACTGAAATTGCAACTTTGAAATAAGCAGAGAAGGTGAAATGTGTAAAATTACATGTGTGCACAATTATATTTTATGTGAATGGAGCAAAAGACTCTAGAACTGGAGATAAATTTAAATAAAAAGAAACATAAGCTATTCCTTCCACAAGCTAAAGTGCAAGGAATATCCAAAGTCACATTCACAGGAAATGGACCAATACATGAAAATGTACATGTCACTGGTTCATTGTATCTGTACCACTGCTGTTTCAGTAGGGCCTACAAGTTAAATGGGGTAGAACAGTTGTTTGCATATACATATACACATACAAAAACCAGGTCAAGTGAAAAATATCATTCATGAGCCATGACCCCATCCATTTAACACTCAATATTTATATTTTCAAGGAAAATTTTCATCAATCCCAAATCCCCATGCTCTTAATTATAATCGACAAGCAGGACCAGGAGACTAGGAGAGCTAACTGGATTTGTCACATGTGAAACTTGAAGCCAAGCTCAGCCATTACGATTTTATTTTTATTTTACTGGAAGAGGTAAGACTTTTAAAGGAAAATTTTACAAGAAATGAAGTTTTCAGGCGCGAAACAAAATTTTCTGTTACTTAAAACCTCTTCATCTTACAAACTGTGTCAACTCTTCTGTGCAAACCCCAGGGTTTCCTAGAAAAGAAACATTTTCATAGGTTTTGTTTTAGCCAGAACCAGAATCTCCATTGCCCGTGCCCTTACAAGTACATGTACATTCAACATTCACATGAACACTGGAATGCTGCACAATGACATGTAAAGCATTACATGTATATGTGTGATCAGCAAGGCTATCACCTACTTCTCAGAGAATTTGCCTGATGGCACGCAGTTAAACTCAGTATTTCTTGGACAGGAGAATTTACATGTACCTACCAGCGGTCTATAATTATCAGCATTTCACAATACTAGAAGGAAGTGTGGGTGTGGGAGGGGATAGACAGGTACATGTATTTTAAATTAATTTCAGTATTTCAAAGGGAAGAATGAAAAATTACGTATTACTTTTTACTATGTAATGGTACCGGTACATACACTGTACAAATGTAGATAGTTCTAGGGTGGATGGCTGTAGAAAATGTTAATTTACATTTTTTTCTGGATTAAAAAGTGTTTTAGTTTTCAATTTTTTTAAATACTAGAAGTTACTGCAAAGTTCAAAACAAAACTAGGTTAGTTTGTTTCTTGCATGCAACCCTTAATTAAAATCAACATATCCCCGATGCAAAGTACATGTATGTACACGTATCTTGAAAATAGTTTGCAGTACCTGCAGCTACAACTGACTCAGACTGGCCAGCCGACCCTGGTAAACTCAGTGGTCGAGTGGTTAAGATGTCCGCACTAGTAAGCAGGGGGTCGTGGGTTTGAGTCCCACCTGAGTAAGTTTGTAAATTTTTTTGAAAGCTCTCAGAAAAGCACTGAGTATACAGTATTTATGAATATAAGTTAGGTAAGTGCAAAACCCATTATTTAAAAAATTTTTCCTAGAATTATACACATTAACGGTTCAACAAAAACCTCAGAATAAAGCCAGTTGACATTAATTCCAGGTTGTAAACAGTTCAGTTTATGCTATTTGTGTTCTATAATTATGGATCACATAGAGAACCTCCAAAAATTATACAGAATATGTGGCAACAGAGTTTAGATATTCAAGATGCATAACAGACAACCCAAACCGTGCTCAGAACAAAAAAAAATAAGAGTATAAAATAAGATGTAAAATTTGATGAGCCACACCACCACCCTCCCTTCATGTGCCATCTGTGCATTTCACATTTGCATCTACAAAAGACCCATCCAGTACCAAATGATTTGCCCCCTTATCACCCTTCAACAGGAACCTGCTCTATTAACAAGGAAGACCATTTCCAGAAGAGGTTGGGAATCATGCCTATCTTGCAATTCTTGACAGGAAGGAGGGGCAAGTTAAGGCAACTGAGCAGGGAACTTTGACCAGCTCTGACAAGCAACTCCAAGAATGTGGCAAAATTTTCAGTCAGATGACAGTTCCTTTCTTCACAATACATTTATAGAATGCCTACAAGAGTTGTTTCCCAAAGCATTACCTGCAACAGTTCTTTGTCCAACATGCAAGAAATGAATCAGTCCATTCTGCTAAGCAATACTTTGTGAATATCTTTCTGAATGGGAGGGTCAAGAATCAAGAGCAAGGAGTGCAACGGGAAAAGCTGGCTCAGAAATGCAGATAATCATGATGGTAACAATCCATAAACTTCAGAACCAGTCGATAAAAAGATATTCAGCAACATTTTCAATTCAAATATTGCCCCCCTTTGTAAAGTCGGTCAAAAGATGGCATCCAGTCTACTAAAATACGGTACATTTTCAAAATTGAGGTAGCCAAGAGAACATTACAAAATTGTCAGCTAGTTTTGAGGTGAGCTTATGTAAAATAATCCTTTTTTACATTTGAAAATTAACACTTATTCGTGATGACTCACGAATTTTTTTCTGGATAAGCACAGAACAGGATTTATTTCATTTTGATCAATAAATTATGTTGTAGAGGGGTAGTGAATGAGTGTAAGAGGTGGCAGCAAGTCATTTTTTGCAAGTCCAAGTCAAATCACAAGTCATTATATGCAAGTCCAAGTCAAGTCACAAGTCATTAGGTCCAATCACAAGTCAAGTCACAAGTCATTTGGTCACAGGGCAAGTCAAGTCACAAGTCATTTGGTCTAAACACAAGTCAAGTCACAAGTATTTTTGTCCAAGTACAAGTATAACCAAAAAGAACCAGGTGTCAACTTATGAAGTTACGAGTTATGAATTTTAGACAGCTGAGCACCTTTTCTCCAATTATTTTGACAATGCCTCCGTAATTTCCCTTTTTCACTTGTGTTGTAATTACTATTCTTACAGTCTATCACGTATCTGTCAAATATTGCACCTCTGTCTAATTTAATAAATGTACTTTGCAGAGTGGAATAAGCATTGCGATGGAATGATGACATGTTGAGAGCACTGTTTATCTTAGTCATGCATCAATACAACCCAACGTAGCAGCAGGATTTGCATGCTGCCCTGATCTACCGTACAGCTGCAGCTAGGTGAAATAAGAAGCCACACAAACCCAAGTCCATTTTTTTATGCAGGTAAGGTGTAAGCTGAATAGCTTAATTATGCGGGGCCAGTTGAGTAGCATCTGACTTGGGTTGGTAACAAGTCAATTTTGCAAGTCCAAGTCAAGTCACAAGTCATTATTTGAAAGTCCAAGTCAAGTCACAAGTCAAAGCTGGTAATTACAAGTCAAGTCACAAGTCAAAAAATAAGCGACTCAAGTCCGGCTAGAATCCAAGTCACATAACTTCAGTCAGAAACTCTGAAAATTATTGCACACATTGTAAAAGTTTTGAAAAAAAACATACTAGATAGGGGATAAACTCATGGTAAACATTTGGTTGGATAAACTTCTATATACATGTACATGTAAGGGTAGCTCCTGAGGATGTGGAAGCTTCAGACAGCATGAAGCAGCACACTCCTCAGCTGCATAGGTGGAAAACAATAACAAGCATAAAACCAAATAAATCAATTGCAAGTAATCAGTTTTTTTCATCTGATTTGGACTATTTTGTTCTTTTTATTAAAGTGCATTCAGAAACTGCCTTCTCTAAAAAAGCAAGCAGCAACGTTAGACAGTGTACGCTTCCAACATGAACCAAAAGACTGAGACAGCATCTAGGCAAGGTAACAGGAGTAGCAAAAACAATAGAAATGCAAATTTGTATTTCTATTATTGCAAATACTGTCAGCTGAAACTCCAGATAAAATGCCAGTGTTGTGTGCTATCAATCTATCAGGCTATCAATTGACATGGCCCTTGACA